AAAAAGGTTGAACTACCTACCAGGGAAGACTAATTAGAATAGCAGTAGATTTATCTACAGAAACCCTCTAGGCTAGAAGAGCTTAGAGCCCTATCTTCAAAGTTCTAAAAGATAAACAATTTCAACTGAGAATAACCTACCCACCCAAGCTAAGCTTCATCAGTGAGGGAGAATTGAAATCTTTCCCAGATATCCAATCCCTAAGAACCTACGCTGCCACCAGACCACCTCTATAAGAACACTTAAGAAAGTATTGAACACAGAAAAAAAGGAAAAAAGAGCAACAACATTCTTAACAAGACTACAGGCAAAAGATTAAAAACACACATGAACCAACCTTAGAACCAAAAGAAAGACAAAACACAAACAGAAAGAACAGCAAATCTGTAAGAACATTATGATAGGGATCAACTCTCACATTTCAATAATTAGCTTGAATGTGAATGGACTAAATGCACCACTGAAAAGACATAGAATGGAAAAATGGAAAAAATATCACCAGGCAATAATTTATTACCTTCAAGAGACTCACCTCACTAGAAAGGACACTCACAGACTCAAAGTAAGAAGATGGGAAACAAATTTTCAGGCAAACAGAACACAAAAGAAAGGAGGAGTCACAATCTTAATCTCAGAAAAAATACCCTTTAAGCTATCAAAAATCAAAAAAGATACAGAAGGTGACTACATAATGATAAAAGGTTCAATCCATCAACAAGAAATATCCATCCTAAACATATATGCACCCAACATAGGAGGACCAACTTTCATAAAGCAGCTTCTAGGTAAACTAAAAAAAATATCGACTCTAACACAATCATAGCTGGTGACTTCAATATCCCACTCACAACCCTAGACAGATCATCAAGACAAAAAATCAGCAACAAGATCTGAAACCTCAATGTGACTCTTGAACAAATGGACTTAATTGATACCTACAGAACACTACATCCAAAGACCACAGAATATACATTCTACTCATCACCACATGGAACATACTCTAAGATCAACCACATACTTGACCATAAATCAAGTATAAGCAAATTTAAAAAGACCGAATTTTACCATGTACCTTCTCAGATCAGAGTGGAATAGCATTAACACCAACAAGGTCCCCCCAAAACCCACAAAGCCATGGACACTAAACGGCATGATGTTAAACAACTCCTGGGTCAACAATGAAATCAAAACAGAGATTAAAGATACCTGGAAACAAATGAAAATGAAGAAACATCTTACCAAAATCTCTGGGATGCCATGAAAGCTGTAGTAAGATGGGAATTTATAGCCCTACAAACGCACATGAAGAAAATGGAAGGATCACAAATTAACAGCCTAACAAGCCACCTAAGGAAGCTGCAAAAGCAAGACCACAAAAACCCTAATTTCAGCAGAAGAATCCAGATCACCAAAATAAAAGCCCAAATCCAGGACACAGAAGACAAAAAGATAATACAAAAAATCAATGAAACAAAAAGCTGATTCTTCAAAAGGATAAACAAGATCAATGATCCCTAGCTAGAACAACCAAGAAAAAGAGAGAAAAACCCAAATAAACACAATCAGAAACACAAAAGATGAAGTCACATCTGACCCTGAAGAAAAGCAAAAGAGCATTAGAGACTACTATGTACACTTGTATGGAAACAAACTTGAAAACCTTAAGGAAATGGAGGACTTTCTGACATCACACAACCTGCCTAGGTTGAAACAAGAAGAAATTGAGACCCTGAATAGACCAATAACAATCAAGGAAATTGACTCCGTGATAAGAAAACTACCTACAAAAAAAAAGCCCAGATCCAGATGGCTTTCCAGCAGAATTAGAAGACATTTAAGGAGGAGCTGATACCAATCCTACTGAAGGTATGCCAGGCGATTGAGAAAGATGGAATTCTCCCCAAATCATTTTATGAAACTAACTTCACATTGATACCCAAGTCAGATAAAGACCCAACAAAGAAAGAGAACTACAGACCAGTATCTTTGATGAACATAGATGTTAAAATCCTCAACAAGATCCTAGCAAACTGGATTCAACAACACATCTCAAAAATCATCCATCATGACCAAGTAGGCTTCATACCTGGGATGCAAGGCTGGTTCAACATTCGTAAAACCATAAATGTAATTAAATACATCAACAGATGTCAAAACAAAAACCACATGATTATATCATTAGATGTAGAAAAAGCTTTTGATAAAACCCAGCACCCCTTCTTGATAAAAACTGTCGAACATCTAGGCATATGGGGAACATACCTCAAAATAGTAAAAGTTATCTATGAGGAACCCATAGCCAGCATACTCCTAAATGGACAAAAATTGGAACCATTTCCCCTGAAAACTGGAACAGGACAAGGAAGTCTACTTTCACCCCTCCTGTTCAATATAGTATTGGAAGTCCTGGCTAGAGCAATCAGACAAGAGAAGGCAATCAGGGGTATCCAAATAGGAAAAGAGGAAGTCAATTTATCTCTCTTTGCAGATGACATGATTGTCTGAAAACCCAAGGGAATCTGTCAAAAACCTCCTTACACTGATAAAGGCCTTTGGCAAAGTCTCAGGATATAAAATAAATGTGCAAAAGACAATTGCATTTCTTTACACCAATAATAAACAAACAGAAACCCAAATAAAAAGCACAATTCCATTCACAATAACCACAAAAGAAATGGAATACCTTGGCATCTTCCTAACCAGAGACATGAAAGACCTTTATAATGAAAACTATAAAACTCTGCTTAAAGAAATCAAAGATGACACAAACAAGTGGAAAAATATCCCATGCTCATGGGTTGGAAGAATCAACATTGTGAAGATGTCCATCCTACCTAAGGAAATATACAGATTTAATGCAATACTTATCAGATTACCAGCAACATTCTTCTCAGACCTAGAAAAAACAATACAGGAATTCATATGGAAACACAAATGACCAAGAATAGCCAGAACAATCCTCAGCAAAAAAAAAAACAAAGCAGGTGGTATCACATTACCAGACTTCAAACTTTACTATAAAGATACAATAATCAAAACAGCTTGGTATTGGTACAAAAACAGGCATATAGACCAATGGAATACAATTGAGATTCCAGAAGCTAAACTTCAATTTCTCAACAAACTCATTTCGACAAAGCTTCCACCACCTACCACTGGGGAAAGGAGAACCTATTCACTAAATGGTGCTGGGAAAACTGGCTGACCACATGCAGAAGACTCAAACAAAACCCCTATCTGTCCCCATACACAAAAATTAACTCTAAATGGATGAGAGACCTAAACGTAAAACCTCAAACCATAAGATCCTTAGAAAATGCAGGACACACCCTTATGGAAATTAGAACTGGCATCCAATTCCTGAACAAAACCTGAAACCCACAGGCCATAAGAGATAAGATAGACAAGTGGGACCTCATTAAACTGACAAGCTTCTGCAAAGCCAAAGAAACCATCAAGAGATCAGGGAGACAACCCACAGACTAGGAAAAAATATTTGCCAACTCCAGGTCTGACAAAGGCTTAACATCTTCGATCTACAAGGAACTCAATGTGCTGAAAAGAAAAAAACAAACAACCCCATTATAAAGTGGGCAAAAGATAAGAACAGACACTTTTCAAAAGGAAGACATCCGAGCAGCCAACAGACACATGAAGAAATGTTCAACCTCACTAATCATCAAGGAGATGCAAATCAAAACCACACTGAGATACCACCTAACTCCAGTCAGAATGGCAATTATCAATAACTCAAAAAATAACAGTTGTTAGAGAGGGTGTGGTGAAAAGGGAACACTCCTACACTGTTGGTGGGAGTGCAAACTGGTGCAACCTCTGTGGAAAACAGTGTGGTGCTTCCTAAAAGCTCTAAATATCAACCTCCCATATGACCCGGCAATCCCCCTACTGGACATATACTCTGAAGAACTCAAATCACACTACAAAAAGATACCTGCACACGTATGTTTAGCGCAGCATTGTTCACAATAGCAAGAACCTGGAATCAACCATACTGTCCATCAAAGAGGACTGGATTTTAAAAATGTTGTATATATAAATGATGGAATACTATGCAGCCATAAAAAAGAACAAAATCATGAACTTTGCAGCAACCTGGATGGAACTAGAGTCAATAATACTGAGTGACCTCTCACAGAAACAAAGATCTGAGTATCACATGTTCTCACTCAAATAGCGGACCTTGAACATTCATTGTAATACTATAAAAAAAGGACTGTTGTGGAAAACTATGGGGGGGGAGGGATTGGGATTAACAGTAGTCAATATCTGTCTGCAGATGGAGAGATACCTCTTATCAACAAGGGTGCCTGAACGAAGCATATTTGTATACCTAACCCTTAACTCTGTACCCCACAATATCAAAATAAAAAATATTGATTTAAAAAAAAAACACCAGGAGGCAAGTTCTTTCAGGTACAGTCCACATTGTGGAAATGTAGGGGTGTTGGGGGAATAAATGTGATGCTTAGATTCAGACCATTGTGATTTGGGCTTGGAAGGTAGAAACTCCTGGGAAAACATCAACCATTAGCCCATTCACACAAAAGTCCTTTTATTTATTTATTTATTTATTTATTTATTTATTTATTT